GTCGAGGAAGTTCAAAATTTTGCCGTCGGGTGTATTGACAGCTTGTAACAGTTGGCGGTAGGTACCGCTTCGATGAACCGGGTGAGTCCGTTCAAGGGGGTCTTGGTCGTTTTCCATTGCATCAGCCTCATCTTCGCAAGAGGCGTCTGGAAGATGATTAATTGAAGGAAGAATTAATGCTTGGAAAGGCCTACCATGAAGTATACGAGGGACGTGGAGGGGACCGAGAGTTTCCCTGATGGATGTTTCTCCGAAAGTCCCAGGACTAGTGTTCTTGCCCGAGCGAAGAACGAGAAGGTGTTTGGAAAATAGATATGCTTTCTGGCAGTGGTATACTTTCGTCGTCCTCCCATTCTTCGAGGGGTATTTCGAGCACTCTGTCAGAGGGTGAAGGGACCATGCGGATTTGGAGATCCATCGGGCAAAATCCTCCCGTCAGCTACAGCGCACTCCTTTACTCGTGCCCAAACCTCATAGATGCTTGTGAGGTTGAGCTGGGACTATGCAAATCTTGTAATTATAACAGAAGTCAAGAGAGTGGAAACCCTACAAAGCCCGGGGGAAACATTGAGGGAAGTTCGATAACTGTAATCGAAGAATTCGATGGATCTCCCTTCAACAGCTTGGGGAAGGCTTAGTGAGTATAGGTGTATAATAAGTAAGCAGAGGAAGAGATAGGTACCTGCTTGTTCGTAATGGGTCGAAAGGGGGCCCATTGTCCTGTCCTCTGGCTGATCTGGAGCCGGCTTTACGCTTTGAGACAGGGTGGAGTTGCGTTTATGTCTGCGGAAGGACGGACTCGCTGTTGTGATTTTGTAGTTCACTGTGGAGGCACGTTTGCGGAGGTTTGGAGCTGCAACTGAAGCGCCATCAGGCTTGGCGGAGATTGCTATGGTAATTTTTTTTAGAAAGGGGGTTACGCATGAGATAAGTGTTGAGCAAATACATGAATCCATATCTACATCATTTCGTCTGACTCTGGCAGTTGCCTTGTTTGGCTCTCAACGTTGTCCTCGAATTTGTTCTTGACTTGGCTTATTCTTACCCTTGCCTTGTGCTCGGTTTTGTCCTCCTGGTTGTCGTTATCAAGGACGAGTGGCTCTTCTAGGTTCTTCAACCCCTCTTCTTGCTTTAAAAGACGGGGGCGTGTGCGAGTGTCGAGTCCTTCTCCTCGTGCTCAGGCTTCTCTTCCTCCTCCTGTCTTGAAGGACGGGATGTTTTGCAGTGGGTCCTCTTCCTCCACTTCATCTTCTCGTCATCTTCGTCTCTCTCTCTTGTATTGAAGGATGATGGTTACGTTTTGCAGGGGTGGGGTCCTCTTCCTCCACTTCGTCTTCGTCGTCTTCGTCGTCTTCGTCGTCTTCTTCGTCTTCGTCGTCTTCTTCGTCTTCTTTGTCCTCTCTCTCTTGTCTTGAAGGACGACGGTGACGTTTTGCGGGTGTATAATCATCTTTGTCCTCATCGTCCCCGTCCTCATCCTCTTCCTCGTGTATTGGAGGACGAAAATGTATTGAAGGACGGGGACGTTCCGAAGGGGGGAGATCCTGCTCGTCCTCGTCCTCTTCATCTCCTATTGAAGGGGTTATATCCCCCTCGTCCTCTGCATCATCAATGGTAAGACGGAAACGTTTGGAGGGAGTGGGATCCTCCTCGTCATCTACATCTTCGATTGTAGGACGGGGACGTTTGACAGTGGTAGCTTTTTTCGGGGTGACATCATTCTGCAGATGATGACCAAGTACAGGATTCTTTGCTGGGTCGGCGGCAACAGGCGAGGATTGCTCTGTATCCTCCAGAGCCGCGGATTTCTCTTTTGTCGTCGGTGTATGCGTGCTTGGTGGTGGTGGGGGATTAACATCCATCTCATCTGTGGAAAAGGGGCAAGATTGAGAAAAAGTAGGGAAGAGGAGTCTGTAATGCTATCCGAACCTGGTTTACTCTCGGCAGTCTGCTGGGCCGAGGATATGGCTTTAGATAGGGAGGTGTGGTAGGTGGCTGCAAAAGGGCGGTAAGTGAACAGAACAGTGTGTACCGACAGGGGAACTGACTATATGCAGTCTCTAACCCATCTATAGAGTCAGAGCTTTTTCCTTCATGACCATGATCTAGGGAAGAGTTAGCTAGTGAATTGGCCAAGGAGTGGCCTGAACATATGAGATATGAGAGATAGACGAACCGGTATCAACCACATCCTGAAGTAACCCCTGCCCAGGTATAGGTGAGACTGTTGGGAGCAGATTACAGGGTGAAGCCATATGGAAATGTGGTTTTTACCTGAGTAAAAATAATCTCGGTCGTCTTCCGAAATTTCTTCTTGAGAAAACCGGAAAGTCTCGAAGAACTCGTGAAGGATTTCGACCGAAGTCCTTTCCCCATTCGAAACCGATATTAGGTTTCTCCATAGCCACCGCTCTAGTTTTTGAAAGTAGGCAGGTCGTTCTTCATAGGGGCCCAGTGCATGGGCCAGCTGCCTGGACTTGAATTTCAAATCGATCAAGCTAATTGTGAAAATGGCAGACCTGAAGGAGATGCCGTCTATCGGGACTGGTGCTTTGGAGAGCAACAGGCCGGAGCAGCAATAACACGGAGGAAGATAAGGCAAATTGCAAAGGGAACTGCCAACTGTTGGCTTTGTAACGTTTTCTTGTGTTTTCTTTGATTTTCCAGGGAAAACTATTTACGAGGCATTGAGGGGAATTGATTCTGCAGAGTTAGGCAGGACAAACCCAGGGTTCAACGAGCATAGTTTCAACTCATATTCTTCAACTTTTTGAGGGTATTCGCCCAGGCCCTAGGATTGGTGGTAAGTTGGAAGGAAACAATCATGATGAGGAAGGAACGACTTGCAGCTCTGAGCCACGATAGGTGAGAAGCGGCACGGTCAAAGTTCTCCAGGATCTTCAAGTATTTTCTACTGCTATTGAGAAGCTCCGAACTGTCTAAGATTTTTTGTATCGGATGCAGACCGTCTGCTGAGGGTGACGTTTGCTGAACTTGTCGGGTATACTCCTGATACCCTGTACTGGCTTCCTCCAAGATCGACAGCCACCCCCCTCTTGCAAGAAACACGCCGAGCTGAGTGGAGGGATTGAGTTAGGACGCAACGTTGAAGAGAAGGAGACGGTTACGGGATTCGTTAGGGTGGTGGGTAGGTTCGATAACACACGTCGGCGACACCCAATGGTCATTGGGGTGTGAGAAGGATCCTCAATGATATGGAGCGCGAGCGTGGCAAATATGAATACACCGACAGCTGCCCATTCATTGTGGCTGCCCTCTAGGGTGGAAGGAAATGGGCCCTGGGTGATGGCTTGCCATACAGGGTTGTGAAATAATGAATCTCGGACAGATTTGATGGAGTTCGCAAGCACCTAAGAGATGTAATTGGTTCAAGGAAGCATGGAAACGAAGAGGACAAGTGTACTTGGGACTCTGGTGAGGTTTGCTGCCTTGAAGCGCGAAGGATGACCTGGAGATCGGAAAACAAAGCTGAATCAGGGGTGGACATTGTGGTTCAGCGCCAAGGGACGGGCGTTAAAATGCTGGGCTCAGAGGATTAGTAATCTTTTCACAGCCACACTGTGAATTCACAATGTGGCTGTGATAAATTTCTCATCACGTTATGTTTCATATGATTTTTCAACTAACTTCAATGTCACTCTGATCAAGATTTCAACTAACTCGACACTAAACGTGATGGAAGGATTTGTGGACGATCTACGACAATGGGTGGACGCCACCGAGGCTGAATTGAATGGAGGGGAAGAGATACCTGTTACGGTAAGCTTAGGGGCGGGGAGGTCTTCGTATTAGAACTAACATACGACAGAAGTACTTGATCGCAGATTTAGCTCTAACTAAGGCCTATAGATTCCTTGAGAGTGAAAAAGCTAGCCATTGGTTTGAAAAAAGCGCAAACGATTGGTTCCCGATTGGTAATCTAGTAGCTAGAGCAAAAGTGTTGGGTTACTCAGGCATGAACATACCGAACCTGGCCGGAATCAAAGGGGAGCCCGATGAGAAGAATGTTCTTAAGAAAATTGTGAATAGTTCCGCCATATTTGAAAGAATCTTTGGCTTAGTTCCTGCAGATGAAGCCAATTACTGGACTGAGCGGATGGCCGGAAGTTATACGCAGAGCCGTTGAGTCGTGGAAGCAGGCTCCAAAACGACGACAACATAACACAAGATCAGGGGCGCAACATTCGGTTCAGGAGGTGTTTGACGGTCTCGGGATAGATGCGCATGTGGAGCTGGAACGGCGAATCGCCTTTGTTATCAATCTGGATTTCGGAGCATGGTGGCTAGCATGGACGAGAGAGGTAAGGTAGAAGCGCTTACCTTGTCAGTCGGTATCGCTGAATTTTTTTTCAAGGAGGCCTGCGGGTTCCCAGACTCTCTGAGGGACCTCCAAACCGTTGTGCCAAGGTGAGCAACCTATATCTCTGTGTGGGTTTTCCGGGATTCAATGGGGACAGTATTTCTTCCGGACTGTCTGAGGACTACGAACCAAAGAAGTGGGCTCTGAGCGGACATGTCATGGCGCTGATCTCGCCAGTCGCAATCTTGTTGCCAAAATCGTTGAGGAATGATAGCCTTCACCGAGGTACTCTGCTGCATGTGAGCTGTCTGTTCCCTTGCGGGCCCCTGCGTATTGCCGCTAACAGAGGTTATAGAAGTCTTATGTCCTGGGGATGAAAGAACGCCCAGACAGTCTGGCTGCAGTAGAGAAGTTCTTGTGGGAAAGGATCGATAAAATGTCCAGAGGGCTAATGACATCGGAGGAACTACTTCAAGATTTGGCAGAATACGATGGCTGGAAAAATGTGCCAGAGGATGAGTCGTTGTTTTTCGTGGATAAACGTACGTTGCGCTTTTCTTTGTATGAACACAGTCCCTGTACCCATTTCATTCTCCAGAGTCGTCGGAGAATTTGGCACCTAACGCTCCTCTTGGGGTTCCTCTCCCTCTAATCGATGAGAGCGGCGCGTCTTGCGAAGGTCAAGGTAACATTCAAACGGGTGACGAGACTATGGAGCCTGAAGGAGAGAACCACAACGAGGAATCCTTGCCCGGGAGGTCACTCCCCAGCGTGGAACAGGAACATAACGGAGAAATTATTGTTGGAGATCTGCCGTCAGTCAGCGACGGCGAAATGGTGTCTGGACAAGAAGCCTGCGGTGCAGCTTCCACAGGAGAAGCCCGCATTGAAAAGCAGGGTGGACCTGTGAAACCTGAAACAGATTCACTGGGGGACCTTGACGAGGAACACTTACCAGTCATCGGAAATTCGCCCCCGCTGGTGGAGGAGCGTGATGGAGAAACAGGCCAGAGAACAAAAACGATAGCGGTGAATAACATACTCAACATGATAGCCGAGTCATATGGTGATCTTGGAGAGGATACGGATGAGTCAGTCAGTTCCAAATCTGAAGGGTCCGGTCAAGAAGGAGCGCATATGTCAGCTGTGACCTCTGGACCTAATTTTAATCATCTCTCGCCAGTGCCTGAGGGGAACAGGATAACGGGAAAGGATGCGGGTGAGCAGTGCAAGACGTCGCGTCTTCTGGGACCTTCTTTCGACCAGAAGAGACCAGGCACACCCGATATGATCGATGTGGATAATGGTACTCCTGCTTCTTCGGGTCGTCCGGCACACTCCTTTACATCTATCAGCAAGCCTAGTCCGTCTGACCACAGGGAATATCAAGAGGGCCGTTCAGATTTGGAAAATGCAGCGGAAGGAATGAGTTCGGGGGAGGATGAGCTCTCATCTGTAGATGAATCCGTCATTGAACCTACCAAGCCCCCTGGAAGATCCTTACGTGAGAGGAAGATGCGAGTGGAAGTTCAAATAGATGGTAGCCAGTCTGGCAGGAAGCGTCAGCATTCATCTAACCACGAAGGAACGAGAAAACGGAGGAAGACCTCACATCGCATTCCTCGGGCCAAACCAGTGGAGAAAGCGGTAAGTACACCAACGGAGCCGAATAACGCGAAGAAGGAGGAAGAGGTAGCTACGATGGAGAGATTCAAAGCCAAGGATGCACGGCGAGTGTTTGTGATTCAAGCCAAACAGAGGGTAAGTTTGTGAAACTGGATGTGGTAGCCTTCGTAGATGTTGATGTACCAGTAAAGCTTCTGCAAAAGGACGTTGTTCATGTCTTTGATGTGGACGCAACGTGGTTTATCAAAATCAGAATGAAGGCTTTCGTGAGCGTTTTTCTTTTCAAGTTCTGAGTGGAGACTTCATATCCAATAATGAAAGGACCTAACGGACTTGGAGTTGTTCAAACGGGCGATGGAAAAATGCGCCGAGCAACAATTGATTGACGGGATAGTTGCTAAAGATGCCAAAGAAAAGTGGACGAATGTCAAACTAGGGGAATTGACAGAGAACAAGGAGGCGAAAGGTGTGCCGACAGACTTTCCGTGCAAAATCCTGACAGCCTCGGAATGGAGATCGCTAAGTCTTGGTGAGATTGGTGAGATAGTGAGTCAGTCGCCTGTGTTGATTAGGGGTGAGGAAGGTTTGGAGTTTGGAGAAGCAGCAGCAGAGGAAAAACTTGGAGACGTGGATATGATGAGAACGGTGCACGGTAACCATTTTGCTGCTCTTCATTTTGTTGCCCTGTATGACATCGGACATCTTTTGTTGTGCAGATAAATCATTGGGAGAGGAGAGGGTCCACGTTCAGGCGTCCCTACGAGATGCGATACGGACTGCCCTTCACGGTAACAAAATTGTCAACTGTCTCGACATCACCATTGAGAGGACGGGACGTTACACGGAGTTGCTGGACACTGACCGAGTGGCTGTAAATTATGTGAGAAATATGCCCGTAGTCCGTTTTATTGCAGACGGGATCGTGTTCACGGACTGGGGCTTGCTCGCCACCGGAAATGCCTTTCACAGGCGTCATATCGATGGTGGAGGGTGTGGTACTGAGGTGGCGGTGGTAGCTGGGACAAAGGTTTGGATTGTGTCTCATCCTAAATCTCCGGCATACTGGGGGAGGTGGTTTGGGGGGGACTTTGATGAGGTGCAAGAGAGCAAGGATTGGGGTGAATATAGCTTCCTGTTGAAACCGGGAGACAGAATGTAAAGTTCAATTTCCTCCCTATTTTCTGCGCCATTAGTTGAAATTTTGTATCTATTTGATAGCATTATGGGCCCATGTTCCCCGCATACTGTCTTGACCATTGACCCATCGATTGCCGTTGGGGGTCATTACAGGTTCGCTAAGTCGATGGACAAGACTTGTTGCGGCATTTGTCAAGCGTTCGTAGCCGACTCAAACTTCACGAATGCAGCCCACGTTGATGCGACCAGGGTGATGGTCTGCGTTCTGGTTTTCTTGGTGGAGAAGCTGAGTGGACCCGATATCGATTGGGAGGATCAATGTGAGCAGTATGATGCAAGGCCGTGGCGATTCTCATTGAATTCTCTCCTTCAGCCAAAACAATACATCTGTTAGACCCATACGAGCCAGCGCAGTTTCTCATTCTATTGATGGTGACAAATGTAGTGCGCTTGGCGAGGGTGCTTGACCCGAGGACCTACGACAAGACCCTTCCAAGAGATGTAGCGCGTGCTTATGGAGTAGGGGAGGCATACGCTAATAGGCTTTTGAGTTGGCTGGCAACAAATGTAGGGCAGCACACATTGGGAGAAACGGAGCAAAGCTGCACGGAAATTGCACGTCGTCATTTAGTGCAAATGGCACGTGCGCTCGTAGTATTCAGACATCACGCGGAGGAAGAAGGGATCGAGGGCGCAAACAGTAGTATAACTACTGAGAGTGTGCGGGGTGCAATTGAGGAGGAGAGCTTTGCAGAAACAGATTGGTTCAAGGAGCAGTGGCCAGGAGATGATGACGAATGGGACGAGCTATGGACAACAACGCAGAGCTTTATTTATATGGGATAGTTAATTTTACGTATGGTGCAGTTCGCTTTAAACACTGCAAACTTTTTCCACGCGCTAAATCGGCCGGAAGCCAACATTTTCTTTTGTATGGGCCTCATCCACCCAACTTGTGGTGGGGTTTTGATTTGCCACATAGTGCCAGAAGAGTGCATAGGGCAGTAAATAGCTGTATACAAACTTTATCTTACATTTATATTATGGCACGGAAGGGATTCCAAGAAGATTGCTCAGGTCGAGGCTGCTGCTCAAGCTTTTCTTGCAAAAACTGAGCAAAGATTGTCGTCAACTGCACAAAAGAAACTCATACCCCTGAGCCAGTTCAACCTGAAGTGATTACTGTAGACAATGATGACAACAAAGACTTATTGGAGTGTGGGTATGAGGGTAGCGTGAATGTCGTGTTCGATTTGGATTCAGAATTCGATGAATATCTTTCTGTGTACATGCGCCGAATTGGGAAGGACTTGAAAAATATCTCACTCAGTTTTGAAGTTATCGAAAATCGGTCGGAGGGTTGGGTTCATGTAATGAAAATGAGGAAGAATCTCTTGGGCGTGTAGTAAACTTTGCAAAAGTTTGCATGATTTAAGTCGACTGCACCACTGGTTATGACCATTTTGGTGCGCCGCCACGGGCGTTAAAAGGCTGAAGCCAGAAGGTGATGTCATACGCATTGAAGTTGGGCGCTTGATTTAATTTCTATTCTTCCTTCTTCATTTATTTTGTCATGACGGACGTCCGAATTGCTGCCTTTGCAGACGCCGTGCAAAGATGGGTAGAAGAGGCATGGGACGCTGTTAAAGACGAAAATGAGAAAACACCATTAATGGTATGTGATTAAGAGTGCATATAGTCACACAGGGGTACTGATTGATTTCAACCCAGGATGCATTCAAGAAAGAACTGAGATTGTGTCGCGACACAAAACTTGTGGAAGGGCTCAGTGAGGATGGAAATCTCATTTTGGAATTTGACAAGAAGGCGGAGGCTTGGCGGACGATCGCCAATCTATTTGTGATCGGAGAATTGTTGCAAAGAGAAGGAGATCATTGTCTTCCGTCTTTCGCCGGATCGCAAATAGCTGGTTTCAATCAACAGGTTTTCAAAAAACTGGTGGGTACCCTTATGTGGAACGAGGAGAATCAATTAAAAACTACGACCAGTGGAAAGCTTTTGAGGGAAAGAAGGGTTGGCCGGGGATGGTCCAAATTGCCATCAACAGTTGGCAAAAGGCGAAGGCCCCTGCAAGAGAAGTGGTATGCAGAGAAGTAGGGATGAGCTCAAAGGTCTACAAGGTGCTTGGAGTTGGTCAGGGGTTTATGGAAGAGAGGCATAGGGGTATAATCTCCAACTTGAACCTTGCCGCTTGGTACATCAGCCTTTGCCGAGAGGTTGGTGTTATTACTGGGATGTCATCTTTGACTGATGTACTGCAGGGTCACACAAACTTTCCTTTGAATTTTGCGCAGTTGACTCAGTGGACGGGGGGGTTGGTCTTATTGTTCATTCGGCAAGATTGAAAATGTTTGATTCTCTAATTTTCAGAATTGACGTAGAACTTGCGGAGGAATACAAAGGCACAAGATGGGAACTGAGTGGTCATCTGGCACTTTTGATTAGCCCAATTGGTTTGCTTCAAACCCGTGGTATTCGTCATCTCAGTTTGCACAGGGGGGTGCTCCTGCAGGTGGGCCACTTGTATATCACTCTCGGGAATTAGATTTACAATCCACCCAAAGGCTCGTCACCATTTAGCCCAGAGAGAGCGGCCCGCTAGTCTAATCGCAGTTGAAGACTTCTTGTGGGAGGGAATATTGAAAATGTCCCGAGCTGAGATGAATGGTGACCAACTTTTGGAGGAGTTGGCTCGGTTCGAGGGGTGGAAGCATGTGTCCGAACAAGATATGTTTTTTTTCAATCTGAGTGCGTTCAAGCGCAACGTATACAAAACAAACTGAATAATAAAAGGAACCACGATAGATGAAAGGGCGGAGGCAATGCCTGCTCTAGCCAACGTCAGTGTGGGTTCGCTGGATGCACCGCATATTAGCACTACATCAGAACGCAATGAGACGAACGACCCAGAGGGTGGCGAGGACGACAACATAGGACCAGGGCGACGAGCTGATCGTGAAGAAGTGGAGCAAATGCTTTTTGCCATTGACGCAGAGTTGGCTTTAATATCTGCACAGAGTACGGCTATCAAAGGTGACTCCACGGTGGGCGAAGAAGCACATAAGAGTGGACAAACATGCGTGGAATCAAACACAGGTTCCGCTGAGACTTCAAGTGGGCACGAGGAGCGAGGTTCTTCTACCGAACGTCGATCAAAGGAGGCTCCAAGCGATCCGAAGACATGGGCAATCCACCCCGTCGCATAAAACGGAGGTCGACAGATGTAGAAGATCATGATGCGGATGATGAGGGGCAAGATCTACCTCCGGAACGTCGATCAACAAAGGGCCGAAGTGAATCCGAAGATGTGGACGATCCACTCATCGCGCAAGACAGAGTCCACAGATGTAGAAGACGACGCGGATGACGTGCGTGGCCGGTCGACAGATGACGAGGACGAGTCAGACAGCTACGCAAAGTTGGTCCAAAGGAAAGCGAGCAAGGATCGGACGATGCCAAGGGCGACGAAGAACTTGGCCGTACGACTGGACTTGGAAGAGGGCGCGATTCGTCTGACTGTGAACGGAATCCTAAGCGGCGAAAAATTACACATCAAGTCCGTAGTTCAGAGGAGCGTAGGAGCCAAGACAGTACGGATATCGTATCAGTAGGCAGCGACATTATACGCATGAAAAAGGAAGAACAGACGAGGACCGAAAGGTTCTTTGAGACGCTGGAAGAGCAGGGGCCGGCCTTTGAGGTTTCCATCCCAGAGGAGGGTAGGGTATTGTGGCTCTTTCTGAATCAGTGTGGTCCTCACGATACCTCAAGCTGTTTTACAAGAAGGAGTGTTTGTTATTCGACCATAGCGGGGAAATTGGGCTGAAAACAGTTATCCGGTCACAGGTGAGCAAATTATTGTATATACAGATTGAGGTTTGCTAAGGTTTGTCTCTGAGCGCCGGGATTTTCAGCACGATATGTCGCTGATTTCCGAAATGGCTCTGCAGCTCCAACTCAAGAATGGACTTATCAGCGACGTGGATGTGAAAGGACTCGAGGATGCCAAAGTCAATACTCCTACAAGAATTGCCGGAAAGAAGGTACTTGAGGGTCCTGACCACCTACGTCGAGGAGAAGA